CTATAAACTAGATTGATAAACTACTATAAACTAGGTTGATAAACTACTATAAACTAGGTTGGTAAACTACTGTAAACTAGGTTGATAAACTACTATGAACTTGATTGGTAAACTACTATAAACTAGATTGATACTACTGTAAACTAGGTTGATAAACTACATAAACTAGGTTGATAAACTACTTTAAACTAGGTTTATAAACTTCTATAAACTAGGTTTATAAACTACTATAAACTAGGTTTATAAACTACTATAAACTAGGTTGATAAACTCACGTAAACTAGGTTGATAAACTGCTATACGATAGATTGATATACTACTGTACACAATTTTGATAAACTACTATAAACTAGGTTGATAAACCACTGTAAACTAGGTTAATAAAATGCCTTATGACTAATTTAGACCTAGTTTCGAGAATTAATTATTGATTTAACATTAGTTAGTTTTTAAGTTTCGTCTTCGACTTAAGGCCGTCTGCGGATGATTTTTTATCTCAAGAAACCAAATCTATTAAAATCTTAAACATACTTTAAGTTAAAAAATTACCATCCATAATTTAGGTCTGTTAATATGTATTTTTTGCATATATTAAAATGTTAAAACAAATTTGAATATCACTTTACCTTTAGAACTACTTTTTGGCTGGCTCATAGCTCTGTTCAGATTTAAAATTTGTTTAAGGAAAACTTTTATTGCGTTTATAGAGGAAATTATTAAGATTTAGAGATGAAAGGATCAGTAAAGAATAAACTAGTAGTTCTCTATACCCTGATCTTGTTCTAGAGAAGGGTTGAGATTTATCCAAGATAAACTGCTCAAGTCGAGAAGAATTGAATTACAGTAGAATCAGGGCATAAACGTCAAAACGGCCAAACCGATCGGGCTCAAATTTTCTGTGGGACCTCACGTCACCGAGGGGAGGAAGGCCAACCACATCAATCTCTAGTCCGAACCACATTCTCATCATTTTCTCGTCCGAACCACATCGAAATCTTCGTCCTTTCAATATTATTTTTTTTAAGTGTCCGATCCTTGAAAATAAAAACATTTTTTAAAAATATGGCGACGCTCGTGAGGTTTAGAACCCCAAAAAGGTCTTGGAGGCCCTCGGCTAAGTGGTTTTCCCCTCAATTTAATTATCCTCCCTTAATCTCCCGGTTAAGTAGTAATTAATAGTTATATTTAAATAATAAAAACCATGCTAGCTGCCAATAACAAGAATTTTTGATAAAATGATATTAACAATTTTCATAATCGATTTTTGATTTGATTGGGATAACTCATTGTTTCGTAGAGCCAAGAAGTTTCCTATAGATGTAAATAGCCCGCATTTTAGACTTTTTTTTAGAAAATTTCAAAAAAATTATTGATAAGTTGGGAGGATCAAGCTTCAGGAAAAAATTGTTTTTGGGAAGATATTGGTGCATAGCAAGTCGATCTTTAATCCTTTAGATCTAAAGGGAATCTGATCTAAAAGAATTTGACCTACGTGGATTTTGATCTCTATATTATATTCTTGCGCCGTGATTTTTCAGAAATCCGTTTTTTTAACTATATGTATAATTTAAGGAAAATCTTTTATTGAAAGAAAAAAGGCTTTTATTTCGAAATCAGTAAATAAAACCATATATTGCATTTCTAAAATAGTTGCTTATCCTCGATATCCTAGATTCAGCCAACATCAAATGCAATTTCTTTGAACTCATTTTGTGAAGTTTTTGCAAATTTAAAATTTGAATTTTTTCAATGTAGAAGAGGAAATGAAGAAAAGTTTTTCTCAAAACAGAAGATTTTGAAATTCTACAAAATAGTCGAACCTAGGAGTAGCAGAGGAGTAGCAGAGGAGTAGCAGAGGAGTANGCACTTTAGTGCACCCCAGTACCACCCAGTACCCAAAAGTAACCAGCAGTAACCAGCAGTACCATGCAGTACCCCGACAGTACCACACAGTACCCTACAGTACCCCAGAGTATCCACCACTACTCTATTTACTCCCAAGTACCCCCATACCCCCCAGTACCCCACAGGAGTAGCAGAGGAGTAGCATAGGAGTAGCCGTTAAGTAACAGAGGAGTAGCAGAGGAGTAGCATAGGAGTAGCCGTTAAGTAACAGAGGAGTAGCAGAGGAGTAGCAGTTAAGTAACGGAGTACCTCCAGTACCCCTGTACCCCCCAGTACCCCACAGTACCTCTAGTACCGTGCAGTAGCCACAGTACCCCACAGTACCCCCATAGTACCCCACGGTTCCCCACAGCACCCCACAATACCCCAAAGTACCCCGCAGTATCCAACAGTACCCAACAGTACCCTGCAGATATGGGGATTACAAATTGGCGTTGTTGCCATCCTTCCCTCCATTAAGTGATCAGCTGATTAGTATTAAACTAGCTTTTTTGTCCATGAAAATAGTGCAAAACTATAAAGAAAACATCCTTAGAAGTGCTTCTGACTCTACTTATATATTTTTATTAAAAATGAAAAATTCTGTTTGGTTTCTGTATCCCCTCCCCCCAGTATACCCCAGTAAAGCCCAGTACTTTGCAGTACATTGTAGTACCCTGTACCCTGAAGCACTCTGTATACCCTGTTTCCATCACTTTCCATAAAAAGATTTGGGAATTACAAATTGGTGTTTTTGCCATTCCTCCCTCCAATGAATCATCAGCTGTTTAGTTTTAAACCATCAACGGAACCTCTTTTATACTGTTATACACAAATGAAAATAATGCAAAACTAGAGTAAAGTGCAACCCAGAAAAGCTTCTATATAAGTTCTAAATATTTTTGTTCAAAATAAAAATTCTGTTTGGTTTGGCAACTTTTTTCTGCAGAATCTTTCTTACTTTCTGAAAGGTTTTACATCGGTATGTTTAAGGATATCTACTCGATATAAAGCAATATTTATTAATACTTATTTTAACTCAAACTCTTAGCCAAATGAATATAGAAAAAATATGCCGGTTTAAGAAAGTTTTAGATAGATATTTGTAATCATCCAGAACAAAAAGTTTTATCAAAATTAAACTTTTTTAGGTTTATTGGACGTTTTCAAAAAACTGCAAAAAAATCATTTCTGACACCCCTAGGCTTTGTACGTCAATATAATTCACCAAAACCATACTGCAGTCCTTCAATTATCATACAGGGAAATTTTCATCTTTCTAAACATCCCAACGAATGATTTGACAGGTTCTTTGATTTTTAAAATTCCAAAATAATTGTATGAAGCTTTTTAAAACTGTTCCCGCATATTTCATGCTAATTTACTTATTTTTATAATTACTGAGATTTAGGTATAATGTGTAAAAACCATTGAAAAATTGTCAAGACGACATTTTATAAATTCTTTCGATGTCTCCGAGGTTCTGGGTTTATTATGCTCATTAACATTTTCATAATGTTTCACTTAGGAATGTTGCAACATTTTTCAAGACTGGGACAGCTTTAAAGTGTTGCAAAATTTTTCAAGACTGGGACAGCTTTAAAGTGTTGCAACATTTTTCAAGAATGGTTCAACTTTAAAGTGTTGCAACATTTTTCAAGACTGGTTCAGCTTTAAAGTGTTGCAACATTTTTCAAGACTTGGTCAGCTTTAAAGTGTTGCAACATTTTTCAAGACTGGGACAGCTTTAAAGTGTTGCAAAATACTGGGATAGCTTTAAAGTGTTGCAACATTTTTCAAGAATGGTTCAACTTTAAAGTGTTGCAACATTTTTCAAGACTGGGTCAACTTTAAAGTGTTGCAACATTTTACAAGGCTTGGTCAGCTTTAAAGTGTTGCAACATTTTTCAAGACTGGGTCAGCTTTAAAGTGTTGCAACATTTTTCAAGACTGGGACAGCTTTAAAGTGTTGCAACATTTTTCAAGACTGGGGGGACAGCTTTAAAGTGTTGCAACATTTTTCAAGACTGGGACAGCTTTAAAGTGTTGCACAAGTTTTCAACACTTGTTCAACTTTAAAGTGTTGCAACATTTTCAAGACTGGGTCAACTTTAAAGTGTTGCAACATTTTTCAAGACTGGGTCAACTTTAAAGTGTTGCAACATTTTAGAAGACTTGGTCAGCTTTAAAGTGTTGCAACATTTTTCGAGACTGGGTCAACTTTAAAGTGTTGCAACATTTTTCAACACTTGTTCAACTGTAAGTGTTGCAACATTTTTCAACACTTGTTCAACTTTAAAGTGTTGCAACATTTTTCAAGACTGGGACAGCTTTAAAGTGTTGCAACATTTTTCAAGACTGGGACAGCTTTAAAGTGTTGCAACATTTTTCAAGACTGGGTCAGCTTTAAAGTGTTGCAACATTTTTCAAGACTGGGTCAACTTTAAAGTGTTGCAACATTTTTCAAGACTGGGACAGCTTTAAAGTGTTGCAACATTTTTCAAGACTGGGTCAACTTTAAAATGTTGCAACAGTTTTCAAGACTGGGTCAACTTTAAAGTGTTGGAACGCTCTGGCCTTTGATTTTAGCAATTTAATTACATTTGTTGTACATTTCAGAACTTTTCAGATTTTTAAAAATTTTAGTTATAAAGAAGAAATCTGCAAAATTCGCATCGTGAGAGCTTACAACCTTTACATTGGATCAATTTCAACAGAAGCTGGACATACTACAATACTATAGGGTGTCCCAATAAACATGGGAATTCAGCGACGACTTTTATATCGTCTTCGATCCATGCAGCATTTTTTTATGAACACAACTATTCCAGCAGTATTTCAGCTCAAACATCTTATATCGAAAACGCCTGGTCTGGAGATTTTCAAAATGTGGACTACCATTTTTGCATCTTCAAAATTGTCGTATATATTGAAAAATTTATACATACTTCTATTCATTTAATAAATAAAAATTGGCTTAATATCTGATATTTTCGTTGATTTTTAAGATACAAGAAAGGTATATACTTTAGGAAAAACTCGTCAGACGTACAGCCTCGTTTTTTTTACTTGCTTTGCTATGCATTAAATATCAGAAATCAAAGACAACTATCAAGTTGTCTCTCCATTCCCATGTGTATTGGGACACCCTTGATCTTAGTTTTTGATATTTCAACTGTCTCCGTCATTTTCAAATATTATATTTAATCTTTTACTTTTTAGCTTATATTTGGAATAACATATGGAGAAGACAACACAGTCTGGCACTGGCTTCAGGTAATGTTATTATATAACAAAACATATCTTCACAACTCCCCCCTGCAAAAATAATAAAGTTTGAACCAGCAATCTGTGAAATAGCCGACGTCTACAGTACTCAGACTAAATTTTTACTTGTAAATAGATTTTTAAGATTATTTGCTATTTAAAACATCAAATACACTTCAAAATTGCTTATCTTTTGATCTCCCTTTTTCACAATTTTCTTGTTCTCACCGTATTATAGTAAATAGTATTTATTTTTCGTTATTAGTAAATTCTACTACCTTTCAGTTTTAATAAAGGTAGGAAAGAAATCCCTGTTCAAAAGCCAAATAATTATGAAACATTGTTAAACCTGAGATATTGCTAAAGTATGATATAAACCAGAAAGCTCTGAAATAGGAAAACACCTCTTAGTATCAAGTTAGAAATTTTAAAATAGAGAAATTGTGCAGTGTAAACAGACTCATTTCATTAAATTATTGATTTAATAATAGTAAAACTATTTGCTTTGTAACAACATCAGATACACTTAACTATTTGTATAATGTCGTCTATCTTTTCTATTGTTTTTGGTTAGCACTGTATTGCTAAATTATGAAAAAATACTAAATTATGAAAAAATGCTATTTTATGAAATATCACTAAGCTTAAAATATTGTAAAATTATGAAATATTGTAAAGTTCTGAAATGTTGTTAAATCATAAAATAATTATTAAAAATAACAAAGACATTTTGCGATGTTATTTATCTTTTTCGTGAATTTTCTGAATTTTTCGAAATTCGAAAGTTTCAGGAGGCAAATATTTTTTATCCAACCATTCATAAACATTCATAAACAGAAAAACTAACAAAGTGATTGTTAACTAATGTTTTTAAATTCTGAAATATTGTACAGGATCTTAGAGAGAAAGGGATTCGAATGATGGGAGTTAGTAATGTTGTTAACTTCCTTCCTTGGTTCAGGTAATCGCAGTTTTCTTTTAATCTATTCGAGCAATTTGTTTTGGGCATTAAACAGCAAAAAGGCCATAGACGAATGAGCAGAGAATTAGAAGTGTAGAAATAAAATGAATGTTACTAACAATAATTAAATTTAGTTCCTTCTGTTTTATATAAAAAAGCAGCTTGTGAACACATAGCTTTGCTTGAAAACTGACCTTCCCCAATATTACCTAACCAACTCAATTTAGAATCTTAAAAATAAAGTTAAGAACTTTTTTGGAGAAAGTCAAGTTCCCAGGCAAAGCTGGGTTCCCAAGCCTACAGTAAATATAAGTTAGCTTGCTCTTTATAAGTCTAATTTCACAACTTAGAACTTTAAAAGCAAGCTAAGGACATTCCCGAGATTTTCCCAAGTTTCCCAATCAAAAATTTGAGGCAAATTGGTCCAGGGTTTCATACTTTCATGAGCTACAATCGGACATACAAACAGACAAACAGAGATTACAACTTTATATAGAGAGATTTCCTCAAGGAATGTTCTAAAATATTTTTCAAAAAAAGGTTCTTCCCTTATAACGTGAGGAACATAAGATGGATTAAGAAGGGTCAGGTTGAGACCCACGTGGAGTATGAGAGGGTGATCAGGGAGAGGGAGGTCAGATTGGAGGAGGGAATGGAACCAGAGTGCATCACAGACTTCTACTTGCAAGAGGTGGGTTTCTTACATTTTTTAAAGGGACTGTAAGCGTAAATTCAAGTAAACCTCCATGCAAATAGTATTTAATAATGTTTAAGATGTCGTTTTTTAAGTTTAAAAGTATTTAATTCTGATCATTCGTATATATTATCCAGGTCCTGCGTTAGAAATGCGCAAGTCACTTTTGTGGAGAAAATAATTAGTTTTCGAAATTATTAACATTGATATTTAATTCATACTTGATCAAACAAAGGGTACAGTTGTGAATCAGGCATTGCCATCTTTACATAGAGCATCACTCACATTTCCTAAAATGACTGTTTTTATGCAGTTTCATTTAAAAGAGTTCCACATGTCAGATTCCCATCGGTATTCTTTAATCCTATAAAGGCTGGGGGGGGGGTCTTAATCTATATGTATAGCCTGTCCAAAAAATTATTTCAATTGCACCTCCATGAATTGAAAATATACCTCTTAAAACAGAACAGGGCCATTTAATTTAATCATTTGTAGCAACAGTTACAAATAAATGAATATGCATCAACAGAAAAATATAATTTGTTTTAAAATAATCAATATTTCAAATATACACAAATCAAAGGAATTAAACATTTGACACACATTCAAATTTTGTTATCCTTATATCTTTGCAACCTCATGTTGCAGACTTTGATATTTCTAACTAAGCATTCTACTAGATCAAAGCGTTGGAAATTACCTTAATTCACCTTGCATAGATATGTATAAATCAGAGTGTATCTCAAATTTTTACTTCTTTTAAAATTTTATTTGATGTATATTCAACAATACAACTATGGGGTACCAGGCCAGAATCTAAGTAAAGAAATATAAAAATAACAGATGAAAATGTTGAATAACTAAAAGTTTTGAATATTAGGTGCAGGAAAGAAATAAAGCCGGACTGAACCTAAAATCCTTCACCAGAAACCAACTTTACCATTTACAGGTCAAATCACTAAATAAACTGATAGATGAAATCTTGACATTCTGTTCATAATATTGAATTTACATAAAGTATGTTAGACATTTCTAAAGATGTGTGAGATATACCAGAAATTCCATCCAAAAGATAGATCTGTTGTTTCAGGCTGATATGTTTGGTGCTGGCACAGATACAACTGTAACTTCAATCTTATGGAATCTGCTGATCTTGTCCAGGTTAGGTCTTATATTCTCAAAATCTGCTGATCTTGTCCAGGTTAGATCTTATATTCTCTAAATCTGCTGATCTTGTCCCGGTTAGGTCTTATAATCTCTAAATCTGCTGATCTTGTCCAGGTTAGGTTTTATATTCTCTAAATATGCTGATCTTGTCCAGGTTAGGTTTTATATTCTCTAAATATCCTGCTGATATTGTCCAGGTTAGGTCTTATATTCTCAAAATCTGCTGATCTTGTCCAGGTTAGGTCTTATGTTCTCTAAATCTGCTGATCTTGTCCAGGTTAGGGCTTACATTCTCTAAACCTGCGAATGAAAAGGAAAAAAATCGCAAAATAATTCAGTTCTTCTTAAAATGCAGACCATTTCAGTTGAAGAAGAAGGAATTTAATCAAATCTCTTTTAATTAAATAATTTTAAAGTTAAACATTATTAGGATTTAATAAAAATCGTTGCAAAGAAGCATTTTCATATTTTTTACAGTTCAAGAAATTATCATGTTTTTTGGAACAAACTGTTTATCAATTGTTGTTTTTAGTAAAGGACGAAATGATTTGCAGAAAAGAATTCACGAGGAGCTAGATAAGGGACGTCAAGATCAAACTCAGGTTGGTTGAACGCAAAATAATATATATATTTGATTAAATAAGAATTAAATGGTGTTTTAGGTTTCCCTTCTTAGAGCAGCTACCCTAGAGGTGGCAAGACTGCGTCCTGTCACTCCTTTAGGGGTTCCTCATGGTGCCCTTGCAAGCCTTCAGGTATTTTCGGGTTACTCATGGTTTCCTTGCAAGCCTTCAGGTATTTTGGAAGTTACTCATGCTATTTCAAACCTTCAGGTATTTTGGGGGTTTCTCATGGTTTCCTTGCCAGTTTTCACGCATTTTGGGAGTTACTCATCATGCAATTTCAAACCTTCAGATATTGGAGGTTTACTCATGGTTTCCATGCCCCAGCCTTCAGGTATTTTGGAGTAACTCATGGTTTCCCTGCTCTCGTCTTTAGGTATTTTGGGAAATGATGCTCTTTACAGGCTTCAGGTTTTTTGGGAGCTAATTATCTATTTCAAACGTTCAGATATTTTGGGGGCTACTCATGGTTTCCTTGCCAATCTTTAGGTATTTGGGATATGGTACTCTTGTCAGTCTTCAGGTACTTTGGGAGTTAATCAAGCCTTCAGATGTTTTTGAGATTATTCAAGGTTTGAGTTACTCATGGTTTCCTTTCCAGACTTGAGGTATTTTATGAGTTACTCGTGGTTTTCTTCCCAGTCTTTAGGTATTTTGGGGTTCCTAATGTTGCTCTTGGAAGTCTTCAGGTATTTTGAGGTTTACTCACGGTGATCTTAACGTGGCCTTAGAGATAAAAAATATATATTTCAGGTTGGAGACTGGAGAGTAAAGAAAGGAACCATGCTTCTTCCAAACCATTGGTCGATTAACAGAGATCCAAGTGTCTGGAAGGAAAATTGATTTTAGTTAAATAATTATATTCAAATTAATGAGTTTTTTTTGAGTTTTATTAATAATAAACGGAAAATTAGTTACCTAATCACATTTCTCAAAATCTAAAAATTACAAAAGTCTATTAATAAACAACTATATATTTAGACATTTAGCTGAAATCTTTGATGTGAATTTAGAACCCCGAAAAGTTTGACGAGAAAAGATTCTTGGACCCAACTGTGTCTTTCAAAATATTCCCTTTTCAGACAGGAAAACGGTAAGAACTTTTTCATTTTGCTTTACTACTTTTATTTTATAAATCATTTTATATTTTCTCTATATTACAGTGAGAACCGTAAAACTATTGAATAGAAGACGACATTTTAGCGTGTTTGCGTATTACATTTTGATATAAAGCAACTAGATTAAAAAGCTTAAAAATCAAATGAGTATGTCAAATGGGTCCGTACATACTGCACAATAGATGTATATATTGTTCATTGAACTGTTCAAAATTAAAAATTGAGTCTAAAAGTCGTCTTTCTATTACAAAGTTTTATGCTTTTCACTGCACATATTTGATTTTCTTCTGGAAAAATAAAAATGTAAAATAAAAAAGATCCACAGAAGACGACTGTAGCAGAAAATCCGGGAAATTTAATTGTAAAATTTATTTAGACGGTGCATTGGCGCAGACCCGGCACGTGATATTGTAGAAGGAGTTCTTTCCCACATACTCAAGGTAGGCTTAAAAAAGATTTTCATGATTCTTGATTTGCTATTTATGATATTTTAAACTATTTTCATTTTTAGTTAAAAGATGGTCAGATCTCTGGGTCGATTCAATCAAAAATTAGAATGACATGATTTTTAATCCTTTAAAGTATAGAATGATAATGATACTAAAAATAATGAAAAAATAAATATTGTTAAGGTCTACCATGTCGAGCTTGAGCCTGATGTTGATCCTTGGCATGATCCTCGTCATGGGTTCACCCTGGAACCTCAGGTATATTTTTTGATAAAAAATCATTAATTTGGATATCCAATTGTAATGTATATACAATATACAGTAAATTTTTTTTTTCAATTTCAGCCCCCCCGTACAGTTTTTTCCGACTAGAACATTTTTTAAATCTGATTAGTTTTTCTCTTCTTTTGAAGCAAGAAATGCGAAGTCAATTTTGCAGAGAAACCACAAATAATAATCAGTTAAAAAAAAACAAAAAAAAAAAAACATAGAATTTTAATTCCTACCAGAACAGACAAAGCTTTAAGGGTACCGCTGTAAATCTGACTTGCCTCTTTTTTTATGTATAGAGTCATCTGAAATTACTACTACAGTCAATTTAATGGCATCTTTTTTTTTAGAAATTTCGTGTCAAGTTTACGAAGAGAGTCCCAACCTTGAAGAATCAACTTTAATCTTTTAACTTCAATCCAATGCGACAAATAAAGAGGAGGGGGGGGGGGGACCACGCCTCCCAACCTCTAAGAGGGAAGCCCTCCTCCCTTTAGTTAAAAAAATTAAAATGTTTATTATAAGTCCAAAACTTTAAAACATACCTACGCCCTCCTCCCCCCTCTTACTATTACTCCAGTTACGCCTAATTATATTTTCTTTTTAGAAAATATTTATTTTTCCTAAAATATATTTCCATTTAAACGTTTTTTTAGAATTGGTCTGAAAATAATATTCTTTTCTGAATTTCTGGTGCGTTTTTTTCCCGTATTTTGTAAATGTAATGACGACATTTTTTTATAAGCATCACGTTTGTTGAAAAAAAAGTTAGTTTGAACGCATGAAGTAAAATTAATTGAACTGTTGTTATTTCCCACAAAATAAAACAATTAAATAAAAAATAAACATATAAAGATGCAGGCCCTTCTGTATATAAACGTACAAAAACAGATATGTACAGCATGGGAGGTTTTAAAAGTACGTTAAAAATGTTGAAAAACCCATTTTAACACTTTTGACAAATATTACATGTGACACATGATATTAAATCTATTCTTTAAGGGCTTTTTAAATAAGTTAATTTTAGATACGTTCAATTACTAAAAAGTTGTTCAATGTTTTTGATTTGTTTGAAACACCGACCAGCTGTTTGACAGTCCTTCACCCTTCCCTATGTATAAAAATAATGTTTGAACAAATTGTTCATAACTATGAAGCTCAATAAGTGAAGAAGTTTAAGCTTAGTTCTGTAAGCTTTTTTAAGTTATAACGAAAAGGCCACGGTAGGGAGGGAGCTCCCGGCCCCCTCCCTTATCGTGAAAGGATTAAATGTCAAAAAAGTTTTCATATTATTAAAGGAACTAATGTATCATTGGAACCTAGTGTAAGAAGCTAAAAATAAGAATTAAAGGGTTTCGTCAAAAGGTTGCCAAGATACAGCAATAAGAAATTTAGAGTTAGTGGCGAGTGTTCAGTTCATGTACTTTACTTCTTTAGTCTTAAGATTTTTTTTATGTATGTAGTCGACTTTTTTACTTTCTTAATTATTATGTATTATATATTACTTTTACTTAACTTATATAATTGTTTTTTCCAATTATGTTTGTCAAAAATGGAAAGAAGACATATACCATGTTATTCTTTCTTAGATTTTTTTTGGATCATCTTTTTTCTGTCAAACTTAAAAATGTTGTAATCGATTCTTGGTCACTAATCTATATTTAAACGTACATATATAACTGTTTAATACAAATAAAATATACATTAACAAACTGAATTATTTTTAAAAACTGACTGGCGTATATAATGTGGTATGTCTGAACATAAAGGTGCCCTTAAACGCATTTTTGTGCATATAATGAGTATATTTATTTTTATGTTGAATGTTCAATTATTTTAAAAAAAAAATTTCGGTTGCATTTTAAAGAAAAACTATTTGACTAGGTAGAACGGACTTTTTTTTACAACTTGTAATATTTTTTGGGATACAATTTATATGATATTTATAAAAAAAAGTTTTTAACATTTTTTTGTTAATAAATTCTAAACTTTATTTTGAATCCAATTTAAGTATTTTTGTTGCTAAAATCCTTGTAAAGGAAATAGATTTAAACTGGATTGAGCAATCTGTACACAGATCCCACAAAGAATGAAACTTAAATGACTAAAATGAGTTGTCAATAATCTTCAGATTTGACCTTCTGCAGAAATGTCGTATCCAAAGAGAATAGAATATATATTAGAATGGAATTTAGACAATCTCTCGGTATGAATTTTGTCAGTCCCTTTTAGACTGAAAGGGAGTTCAAAGTGTACAAATCATGTAAATGTTCACAAATTATATGCAGTAGAGTACTTTAATACAGTATGTTCTCTAGACTATCCATTTCAGTTTCGAATTTTTTAAAGCTGTTAAATAAACTTTATAAAATGAATTAGGTGAATAAAAATCATCATTTGATTTATAGTTATAACGGAAAATCATCGTTTGTAAAGTGCAAGGCATAGAGTCTATGTGAAATGATCATTGGTCAATTATGAAACCAGCCTATTTCATAGTTTGGTTAATTTTCTTTTAATATTAATTTAGATTTTCTATAAAATTATGTTCCAAGGCCCAAAAGGTTATATAGCACAAATATGTGAAGTACTTTTCCAGTATGGAAAAAGTACAACAAAATGTCCGTTTTACACTATTTCCCATTAAATTCCACTCTAATGTATATTCTATTCTCTTTGGTCGTATCATAATGATGTGAATAAATTTCTAATCAAATTAAAATTACATATTAAAACCTTACGTTACATGCTTCTAATCACTCCGTTTATTGAAGAGCTATTGAGGAAAAAACAAAAATGTTTTGAATTTATAGTTCGGAACCAGTTAAATTTTCTTCTTTCATATTTGTTTGTGAGTAAAATCTTAACTAGAGAAGCTACACGGGACAGTAAACCAAATGAACCATCCCTTTCTATAATGAGATTAATGCTTGAATAATGCAGTAATTTGAACACAACCGCACATAGCATAGAAGAATCATTGACGCGTACCGGCGTTAAAAAGTGCTCAATGCCGCACCGTTAATGTAAAATGCACAATTTGATTACTCAGAAATATACACCTATATGTGCAGGCGTATGATAAGTAAAATCCCATTTGGGCCTCTCCGGCAGGGTCTCTCCGAAGTTACAGGGTGTCCCACGAAACATGACAGTTGGTGAATTACAGGGTGTCCCAAAAAACATGGGAATTCAGTGACGAATTCGATATCGTCTTTTCAAATAATTCTTTGATTTAGTTTAGTGATACCTACTGAGAAAGCTGTAATCTGTAAGAGTTTCGTCTGCTATGGTTACATTTTTTTTGTTTATGTTTTGACTGCATACAGTTGTATTTAGTAAAACAAGAAAATTGCAGTATGCAAACAGAGTAAACTTGTCTGTCTTCACTGTTCATCTTGCTGAGACATTATAGACACATCTTTACAGTCTTTTACCCTTTTCATAAAATAAGCTCTAGCAGACATAATAATATTATGGCTTTTGAAATTAGGTATTACAATGCTAATTCATAACAAAGACGATATCAAATTCGTCACTGAATTCCCATGTTTTTTGGGACACCCTGTAGTTTAGGATGTCTTCTTCCATAATTTGTTGAGTTGTTTTATACCTAAGAAAATAATAAAAATATTTTTTGGGAGTCATGTTATAGAATAAATGATTTCAAAGTAAAATATATTTAAACTAAAGATTTTTCTAACGAAATAAATTGAAAAAAGCCTTTAATATCTAATACAGTATAGGGAAGACGACATTCAGAACTATTTATCAACTGTCATGTTTCGTGGGACACCCTGTATATCCCCTGTACACTGTGCATGGAGATCAAAACTGGTTTTAAAGTTGGGTTGAAAATGAGAAAGCTGGGCTAGAGAGAGAGAAGAAGTTTCCTGTTTGCGCCTGTTTTCCTGATTCAGCATCAGCTGATTCAGCTGGTTTCAGTGATTTAGCAGTTCTTTGGTTACTAGACTGAGGAAAATTCGCAAAAATATCTTGGCTAAAAACTGCAAAATTACTAAACGGGTTTCTCTGTTCCTGTACCCGAGGTTGGGCCGACAGCGGGGCTTCTGAAAGAAAGTTCTTTGGATCAAAATCCTTTCGAAGAATGGCCGGGGTCCAGGTTACAGCTTCAAAGCCTCCTTCAAAACTCCTTTGAGCTGGTTGAGTGGGGATAGGAGCGGGGAATGATTGGAAAGGTGCTTGAACAGGAGATGGACTAACAGGGTTTCTAAAGGAATTTAGATTTGATGGGTTTACAAAACTTTTTTGAGGTGGTTGAGTGGGGATAGGAGCAGGGAATGATTGGAAAGGGGTTTGAACATCAGAGGGAATGACAGGGTTTCTCAACGCATTCAGATTAAACGGCTCCGGATTGAAAACAAATACATCTTGTTTCTCCTCTTTAATATTATTCTGTCTTGGTGTTACAGGTGCAATCGCATTTGGTGTGGTTCGTGTCTCTCCAGTACTTTGGGATTGTTTAGGCTCTTGGATTAGAGATTTTCCAGGGTTCACGGTTTGTCTTCCTCTTGATATGAGAGATCTTTCTTGTTCTTGTTCTATCACTGGTTCAGTAGATACCCGGAGAACTGTTGTAGAGGTTGGGACGGTTGTCGTTGGACGGGTTGTTGTTGGACGGGTTGTTGTTGGAAGTGTTGGAGAAACGATGCTACTTAGGGAAAACTGGAAGGGCAAGGGTTTATTAATTTTCTCCTCTTTTTTCAAAACTGGAACCTAAAACAAAAATTTTAAAAATGAAGGTTAATTCTTAAAGCAATTATTTTAGCAGTATTTAGCAGTATTTTGCAACTTACCCCTTTAAAACTAGAATTGCAATTTTAGAATGTATATGCCTAGGGCTGCAAAAAGAATAATGGAGTTAATCAAGGATTTTGATATTTAAAAAATTGTTTTATCAATCTGGATTTAAAAACATATACAGAGGTTGGATCTTTTGTATGGAGAATCGTTAATCTTGAAAGCTTGATCTCTTTATCCAATATATGTTTAATGATATTGATCTACAAATTGTTACCTCGATTACAGAAGATCTTGAATAATCAATATTGAAAACAGGTCTTCCTTCATCAGAAACTACACTTCTAAATAAATATATTATTAGGAATTACATTCTTATATTAAAGAAAAGGGATCTATACATATAATAAAACAAGACATTCGTATATATATATGCTGTCTATAGCCGGCCAAACGCTGGACCGATTGGGCTGATGTTTTTGTGGACACTCATGGGTGGCCGGGGGGTATTATAGGCTAAAAAAATTCGAAATTGTTTTTTTCAAAATATTTTTTTTCAAATATTTTTTTCACCGGCAACGCCGGGCCCTTCAGCTATGTATTTGATAAATGAACATATTATACAGTGTCCGAGATCCGAATAATATACATAAGTCATTGTGTGTTACATGTGAAATATTTTTATTTTTATTTCAATTTCACAGAAAATGGAATTAAGTATTTGGAACAAACAATGAATTTGTAATCCCAAATATTTGTAACCAGATTTCGTAGACCTATTTCAAACTAAGCATTCAAGGTATGCATTTCAATAAGTCTGAGTTTGAAATGTCGAAGGTTTTACCATTAGGTTGCATAATTATAGGAATAGGAAAATTCGAGTTTGTGTTAAACACTCTGTTCCTTTCCGACAACGCGCTTTACTTGTAACTGTAATTGATTTATGACAACGTTTTAAAATTGTTAGACATGTAAACTTTAAAAACTATATTTGAATACATATTCCTTTCTGTTAATATAATGTGTATATTGTAGAGGATGAAATCCCCGAGAGAGAATTTTAAAATCCGCAAATCAGTAGCATAGGATTCTGGACCCAGAGAAGACCTACTCATCTTCCTCTCCTTTGATACACTCATTATTTATTATTTATTTTCATCTAGAAACAATAAATGTACTTCTAAAGTGGTGACCCCAGACAACAAACAAAACATGGCCGAAAACACAGCCTCCTGGTCGTAAACAACTCATGAATTGGACGAGGATGACAATCTCAAGCTTTAACTTCTTATCCACAAATTTACTCTTTCTTCATCTTACAATCCCAAAACTCCTGGAGCTAATAATTGCTAAACCTCCTCTACTCCTGGAGCTAATAAGCTAAATATAAGCTACTCCTGGAGCTAATAAGCTAAATATAAGCTACTCCTGGAGCTAATAATTGCTAAACCTCCTCTACTCCTGGAGCTAATAAGCTAAATATAAGCTACTCCTGGAGCTAATAAGCTAAATATAAGCTACTCCTGGAGCTAATAAGCTAAACCTCAGCTACTCCTAGAGCTAATAAGCTAAATCTCAGCTATATCCTGGAGCTAATAAACTAAATATCAGCTACTCCTGGAGCTAATAAGCTAAACCTCAGCTACTCCTAGAGCTAATAAGCTAAATCTTAGCTACTTCTGGAACCAATAAGCTAAATCTCAGCTTCTCCTGGAGCTAATAAGCTAAATCTCAGCTACTCTTGGGGCTAATAAGCTAAATCTCAGCTACTCCTGGAGCTAATAAGCCAAATCTCAGCTACTCTTGGGGCTAATAAGCTAAATCTCAGCTACTCCTGGGGCTAATAAGCTAAACGTTAGCTACTCCTGCAGCTAATAAGCTTAACCTCAGCTACTCTTGGAGCTAATAAGCTAAACCTCAGCTACCCCTAGAGCTAATATAAGCTAAACTTCAGCTTCTCCATAAGCTAATCTGCTACTCCTGGAGCTAATAAGCTACAAAACTACTTCTGAAGCTAATCAGCTTCACAACTACTTCTGGAGCTGACAAGCAACTCAAGTACCATCTTTAACCTACTCATAGATATTTTGGACGCCAGTTCTCTACAGGTTGAGTCTTTGCCCTCCTAGCGTTCACTACAACTGATCTCTTTAAATGCCCACAAATCAGTAGCGTTGGATTCTGGCCCAAGAGAAGACCTACTCATATTCCTCGAATTCCTCTCCTTTTTTACACTCGTTATTTATTTTCTATTTACATCTAGAAGCAAAAAATGTACTTCTAAAATATGTAAGTATATATGTAAAAATACAATATATGAAAAGTCCATTAAACGATGACCCAACACCAAAAGAATTAGCAAGGACTTATTTAGCTATTTAAAAAAAAATTCAAGAAAAAAAAATTGAACCTGAATGGATCCTGGTTCCAAGTGAGCTGTGCATGATGAATTGCAGAATCTTCTGGAAATAAAATCAGCTGATTTTGATCCTGGATCAGCTGTTCATTCTGAGCCAGTTGGTTGTCTTCTTCTTTCTGTTCTGCAGTTTTAGCGGGGAAGAACTGAAATCTCTGCTCTGGTAAACTTTCAACTATTTTTTCCTGGTCTACAGTATTACCAACTTCAGGCTCAATCAGGAATCTGGGATTTGGGCGGAAAGATTCGGATTTGGACTGGATTTGAAAGGATTCAGGTGTGGACTGAAGAAGATTGTTATCCGGTGGATTTACTGCGGGAAATATTGAAAATGCTGTTGGTTGAACAGTTTCAAATCTTACTGGTCTTGTTGTTGCTTCTACCAATGATGATCTTGTATTCTCCCTCCCTCGACTCAAGCTTATTCTAGAAATATGAAAAATTAACTCTATCTCTGCGGGGCTGGGGAATTTTCAAACCCTGCAATACTGGTTGGGGGGGNGGGGGAATCTACAAAAATTAAAATTTATAAAGTCACCTCAGCATCAAATTTTAAAGAAAATTTGGTTTGACTGGAAATTCTTTGAGTTATTTTTTTGTCATTGTAGAAATTTTAAGATATTATAAATCTCTAAATTTGGAAATTAAGACAGCCTTAAAATTAGTTTTTGTCAAATATTTTTTAGAATTAAATTTTTATGCAAGAGATTAGAGAAAATCTGATAGGAAAATAAATTAAGAAATTGCCACAAACTTAAATTTTTCACTCCCTATGTTTTTGAAACCTGATGGCACTGTAAACATTTGATATTTCAAACTAAGATTTTTTGAGTTAGCAGAATTCATCGTTTGAAATATCTATCATATTATAGATAGATTTTAGACATTAGATTAGATATTTTATACTTGTTTTATACCATTTTTATTGTGTTCATTGTTTACCTTATCTTGGGCTTTACTTGACCATCCTGAGATTCACTTTGTCTGAAACAAGTTTTTTTAAAAACAATTTACATATTCCCATATTAGATTATCTCAACGAGGTTAAAGTGTATAGTGTATAGAGTGATGATGTACGCTAATCCTTTACTAATTGTATAGGCCATAAACTATACCGAGAGCGTACTGCATATTTGTTTATTATAAGTTATTCTGGCCTAACCTATAGTATATCAATATTAGTAAACAGTTGTAAGTGTACAGTACAGCTAACTGAGCAAACAGGTAGAGAACTATCCTCCCCCCTGGATTATCTAAGTTTTAACGCCAAAGTATGCACATAATACTTGAAAAATACGATCCAATATTATGCGGGACACCCTATACTTTAGATATGTTAATGTGTCCAGACATAAACCAACAAATATGTTAATGTGTCCAGACATAAACCAAAAAATATGTAAATGTGTCCAGAAATAAACCAACAAATATGTTAATGTGTCCAGACATAAACCAACAAATATGTTAATGTGTCCAGACATAAACCAACAAATATGTTAATGTGTCCAGACATAAACCAACAAATATGTTAATGTGTCCAGACATAAACCAACAAATATGTTAATGTGTCCAGACATAAACCAACAAATGTCCAAAAGACAAAGTTTTAAAAGCATAATTTATCGTTTTTTGAAGTTTATTGACAAAAATTCATTTTTCCAGAGCTGAAAACTCACTTCATAGAAATAGAAAATTCACAATTTAAAATTTAGAAATTCCTGAACGCACTGAGAAATTATACTAGTTCACTAATTATACTAATTCACTAGGACAAAAAGTTCCAAAACACATTAATAATGAAATTGTTAAAATAAGAAATGTTAAAGAAAGAAAACATTTGTGAAAACAAATATTAAACATTTTACATTTTTTCAATGACAATTTTATTTTTTGTAAGTTTACCTTGCCCCTGGGTTAGAAATATTTATTTTTCTTCTATCCTCTGTTCTCTCAAGGGTTATCCTAGGAACAGATTAAATCAAATTAATATTTTTTTACAGTCAAAACTCTGGAATAGAAAGACAACTTTAAGACTCATTATGTAATGCACTGTACATGAATCACAGAAATTGTGCGGTGTAAGCACACCAATTTCACTTAATAAGTGAATTAATAAGTTACTAATAAAACTACTTGCTTTGTATTCCCTTAAATATTACTTCAATGTCATCTTCCTATTCCAAACTTTTCTGTTGCTCACTGTAAATTTTATATTTGCATTAGCTTGGGAACCCAGCTTTGTCTGGAGTTTTCCCTTAACCAATCAACCTACTCCATCCGTTTCTAGCAAAACTAAGAACATTACCATTATATCATACTGAGTTTTCCAATGAAAATTTGAAGCAAATCGGTCCAGGGTTTCATGCATACAAACATGGTACCTTAAAAAATCTAATCCTTTATAAAACTTTTTGTTTTAAAAACTAATTTACCTTTTATTTTGAAGATTGCGTCCTCTAGTCCTTGTTTTGTCCTCTTCTTGTCCTTTCCCAGTATTTTCGTCCTCCTCTTGTCCTCTAAAAGAAGACTCGTCCTGGTCTCTACCTCCAGTTCGTCCTCTTGTAAACGATTCGTCTTGATTAATTTCCTCTTTTAGTCCTTGGGTTTTTTCAATGTTTTCTGTTCGTCCCCGGGCAGGAAGACGACCTCTTAAAATACAATCGTCAGAAATTAAATTTCCAGATAATATACTTTTTATTTTGGGGGGGGGGGGGGAATAGACTTTAAACAACACACAACCTTCATCTAAGATATTCCCATTCTGACACAAAAACCTTCTAGAAAGGTCAGAACAAGGGTCGGAACTTTTAAATGGAGTATCGTTGAAAGCTTGATCTGAAAAGCTTGATCTGAATATTCAATGTGGACACTTTTAAAATCAATTTTATCCCTGGAGGGTTCGACCACCAAAGGATATAAAGGAAGGATTAGATTAATACGTTGGTTGGCATAAGATGGTTAATCCCCAGATTCACAAAAGTGTTGTTATTGAATATAATGAATTGAAGAGAGGTCATTGAACTGCTTACCTCCAGTTCAAATCCTGAATTACCAATTCAAAGTTAAACATTCATTTAAATCGGTTATTAAGAATTTGAACTGGCGGTAGAAGTTCAGCGACCTCTCTCCATTGAATTAAATTCAGTCCCAGAAGTCTGACTTAAAGGTTGGGTTATGACATCCAAATAATTTGCTGCATTTGTTATTCAACCTAGTTTTACACTACATGAATGATTCATTAAATAAAATTCCTAAAATTCTCCTTGTCTCCTAGTCCTAGCATTTCCAAAATGTGGTCTGCCTTGTTTGTGCTGTCGATATTACCGGAGATATTAAAAATTTCGTTCAGATTTCAACTTATTAAACAAAAACCAAAATTGTCAGAACCTGAACAAAATTATTCATTTCTTCGGAAATATTGAAAGCAAAAAATAAAAAGACCACAATTTGGGAATTCCAAGACTACGGTTATTTTGTGACTCTAGTATTTTACTTCTTAAATTAGGTTTACAAAAAATGCAGGAAATTAATTCCAAGATCAAAGACGCCCTTCAAGTTGTCTTGCTACTGTCATGTTTTGTGGGACACCCTGTACAGTGTACACCCTACCTAGATGGATTAAATGTTCCTTGCTCCTCCTCTTCCTCCTCTTCATCCTCTTCCTCCTCATATTCTTGGGATTCAGAAACTTAAAAAGAAAATAAAGATAATGGTTAAATTTTTCTTCTTTGAGTCTTTTATAAATCAAATAAATTACATTTAATTTTCAAACGATCCATACCGGCCTCCCTGTACAACTGCTTACTATTTTTCAAATACTAAACACATATTTGCTAGTTTAGTTTCAATATTTTCCCAATTTTAGTCATTGCACAGGGACGGCCACATATTTTGCAATAATAACTTTATTTTCGATAAATATCCAATTTCAATTATTTTAACAAAAACACTAGAAACCTTCACAGACCAAATTTTTTACTTGTTTTACGATAAGAGTGAGTTCTACTAAACATGATAATTGAGGAATACGTAAACATCGTCTTCAGCCTTTCATAGTACACGGGGCTTCAAAGACGACCTAAAACTCTTCAATTACGACTATTCCAAGTTTAAATTAAGTCAATTGTGCCTTGAATATGGTCCTTAAATGGCTTCTTTAATGATATAACAAAAAATGAAGAAGTTTACAGTTGTAGGGAATCATGAATACAAGGAAACAGACAGTATAAAATCCGTAAAGTCCTCTCAGAAGTCTTATCTATTGTGGGTAACCCTGTATGTCAAAAAGATACGCCACGACTTGCCTTTAAATCAAAAGCTTATTCCACGCCTTGACAATTTGTTAATTCACATGTTGTTATTAGATTAAAGATCAAAGCTGTAATTTCAATTATCCTTTTTTATGTGACACTCTTTTGAGATGGGGATTCGTTTTCACGAACGAACGAAATATTTGAAAACGACCGAATTATTTTGTGAACGAATGATCCTTTTCTATTAAACTTTAAAAAACCATCGATTTTTTACTAAAGGTAGAATTTTACTGATCGAAGAAACAAACGATTTCATTGTACGATCGTTCAGTTTGAAAATGAACTAAAAAGATAGAAAATTAACAAAATAATTCTGAAAACGAATGAACCAAAATGTTCACTAAACAATCAAAACACGAATCAAAGCATGTCATTAACGAACGATGAACGAACAAATAGAAAAAAGACCGAACGCACCTATCTCTAGCACCCTGTACCTGATGATCTTGGTTTGGATGGGTTTCTTCTCTGTGTACCAGAGGGGTTTCTAGATCTTATAGAACCAGCTGTTGCGCTCACAGATACAGGACTTAATAGTTTAGTCGTTGTAATTTCAACTTTTCAAGTGATCCCACATTTTCAGAGGGCATGTCCGATTCACAAGGAGACTTTTATCTGATCAATAATTTTTTTCCAGCTTGACAAGTCTTTAATTCTGACAATGATTACAATTTTTTAATTCCTGCGGTAGAAATGCGCAAGTCACTTTCGTAGAGAATCCAAATTAGAAAATAATCATTTTTCAAAATTATAATCCATGGCTTTTAAAGCTACCTTAGTAAATCGGATATACCATTCTAAAAATGAAGTGTCACATTCGAAATTAGTCCCTGTCAGTTTCTTGAACAGAACTTTGTTAATTTGGAATCCATGTTAAAACGAAGACGACTGTTAGATTTAAGTTTTGATTTAAATTTGTCCCACGAACATGCTACCACAGAAATTGTGCAGTGTGCAGTGTTCACAGACCCATTTCACTTAGAAAGTTGATTTTCAAGCATCTAATTAATGTAAGCTGCTTAACACTTTTTATGCATCAATCAGGGATTAATTTCACATTGTTACCTTGGTCTAAAATTAACTCGATCCCTAGTATTGAACCTTGATGAACCCCTTGATCCATTCTCATCTTCATCTTCTGATTTAAGATCTACAAAATAAATAAAAAATTTGTTTTAGAAAATGAGGATGTAACTGAAAAAAATTATTTATAAATGAATTTGTTCCTAAACGCCAAATGTTTATCAAAGACAAAAGAGTAAAAAGGTCATTCTAATTGTTCAAATTGTTCAAATTGTTTTATTTGGTTAAGATTTTGTCAAATTCCTAATGAAAAATGACCCTGCTTAATCTTATTTAGAAATTGTATTCGCTTGTTGCAATATATAACCCTGACATTTCGAGATAAAAAACCCTATATTAAAAAAAATCGCTTATTTGGCAGCAAAAGTTGGATCGCCAAATAAGCGATTTTGTTGTTTAATTTAATTGCCTTTTTTGGTCGTTTATTTGGCAGCCATCCAACTTATGAAATTCCAAATATGCAATTTTTTTTCTCGAAATTTAGCATATTGCAAAATTGGTGGAAGGACACGGCATCCTAAATATTATTTAAATAATAAACCTGTTGAGCTGCCTCTGTTTGTAACTTGTCTAACAAAACTAGGTTCTTCCTAAAATAAAAAATAAAATATTTTTAATTAAGGAACTCAAAGTCAAACTTGTATTTGTAAGATTAGCAAGTAAAAAACAATTTTTTTAAAGGTATCTTCAATATTAAAAATTTAACCCTGCATTTGTTTGCTTAGACTTCTTTTTTAATGATTTTTACAATTATAGAAACATATATTGAAATATAAATTCAAACTGAGGTCGTTAATTTTATAACGACTTGTTTCGTTAACGGGAAATCCTGTTTTTTTTTTAAAGCGGCTGTAAGCGTAATATCAAGCTATAAATGTAATGCCTAAATCACAAAAAAGCTTTGTAAAATCAAGTATGAATTATATATAAATGTTTGTAGTTTAAAAAACTAATTTTTTTACTGCAAAAGTGACTTGCACATTTATACAGCAGAAAAAATATATAAATTACCAGAAAAAAACCTTAAAGATCAAATAAAGGGTTTAGGATACTGTTTCATATCGGGCATTATTGTCTTTGCATGGAGTATCACTTCAAGTTAGGCTTACAGTCCCTTTAATTAAAAAACCTGGTCCCTCTGAACGATGCTATGAATTGTAAACAAGTGCCTGGTCCCTCTGAACGATGCTATGAATTGTAAATAAGTGCCTGGTCCCTCTAAACGATGCTATGAATTGTAAACAAGTGCCTGGTCCCTCTGAACGATGCTATGAATTGTAAATAAGTGCCTGGTCCCTCTAAACGATGCTATGAATTGTAAACAAGTGCCTGGTCCCTCTGAACGATGCTATGAATTGTAAATAAGTGCCTGGTCCCTCTGAACGATGCTATGAATTGTAAATAAGTGCCTGGTCCCTCTAAACGATGCTATGAATTGTAAATAAGTGCCTGGTCCCTCTGAACGAGGCTATGAATTGTAAATAAGTGCCTGGTCCCTCTGAACGATGCTATGAATCGTAAATAAGAATACTAACCTGAATAAATGTTCCATCTTGATGAGCTGTTAATAACATAAAGTTTGTATTCTGCTTCACATGATCATCCTTCAATCCTGGTCTTCCTAATTAACAGTTTATATAGTACATAAAGTACAAACAGTACTATACATTATATAAGTACATACAGTACATACAGTACATACAGTACATACAGTACATACAGCTAGAGTACATACAGTACATACAGTACATACAGTACATACAGCACATACAGCACATACAGCACATACAGCACATACAGTACACTAAGTAAATACAGTACATACGGAGAGGTAGCGAAAACCCAGCTCCCCTGCATACAGCACATACACAATTATGATAATGGTAATATACATATTTTTAGTGTCTTTTTATTGAATATGTAACAAATGCCTTACTCCAATAGTTCTTTTAAGTCTGTATCAATCCAGATAAAACTCGCTCTCGAACTCTATATTCTCCAATAGCAATTTAGTCTGTATCAATCCAGATACAACTCTCTCTGTATTCTTAAGTATGCATTGTTCAGATACAACTCGCTCCCGAACTCTTTGTTCTCCAATAATACTTTAGTCTGTATCAATCCAGATACAACTCTCTCTGTATTCTTTAGTATGTATCATTCGAACTCTATGCTCTCGACACGAGAACTAACGTAGTAAAGCAAAGGTTCATATCCAACTCATCTATATATTGGGTTATATAGTATATGTTAATAATATGGAACGATAGGTCTGTTCAGACATTACTGAACGTAATAAGGGTACAGATAATGTTATAACGTAATATATGTAGGTATGTTCAGGTTTACAAAATATGGGGTTTATTACTATATTTATTACAACTAACCTGTAGGTCTAAGATTGGTAAAAGGCATATGTGAGGGAATTGTGGATTGAACTGCTTAGAAAATAATCTTGTAATTATTAATCATATTTTCATTTTCTTTTGTATACTTTAATATTTAATATTTTTATATTTTTATACTTTGTTATTAGAATTCTCCATGTTTGTTTTCTTTGTTTCCATTTTATGTGTAGTTAATGTACCCGAAAAGAAACTTATTTTCTCTGAAAAAAACCTAGAAAATCTGCAAAATTTTTATTGAATAACATTTTGTAATTCCTGTCTCCATAAACATTTGAAAATCCATCAAAGAAAACAGAAAATCCACAAAAATTTGAATTGACAAATTTGAAAAATTTAAGTAATGGGGGGGGATATCACTCACCCCCCCCCTCCATGGGGGGGTGAGTGATTTTTGCTTGAATGGGGGCCACCCATTGCTTAACTTATTTGATTATAAAAGCCCCGCTTTGAGACTAAAGTGAAAGGCAAGTGTTAGTTAGAAAAGTAAAAAATTTGAACAGCATCAGACCAATAGTTGTTGATTAATCTCCAGCTGGGATAGGGTTCAGATAAACCGAAAGCGTAAATCAAATTTGCAAATTTCTTCTGAGACAGAAAAGAACTGAACAGCGATATTTAGGATGTATGCAAAATAAGGATTACAAGATTTTGTAGCAAGTAATAAGTTCTTTTGATCTCAAAGAGTCTCTTGAGCGTGGATTTAACGGTTTTGTCAATATTCCAGAAAGCTGTGACTTTCGATCACAATTTGACCCATTAGACATAATTTGTTAGCCTTTTTTATTAAATACTTTTTTGTTGGCATATGCATTTTGAAAAATAATGTATAACATAAACAAATCCGTGAAGTAAATGATTATTGAATTATATACCAAAACACGTTTTATAGAAGAAACCGAATGCTGCTCACTCTGGTTAGTCCGGTGTGCTTGAGCATCGTAAGATATTGCTTTACATCAGAAATCAAGGAACTCTAAAATACAAACGTTTCTGTTTAATAATTTTGAATTTTTAATATCAGCCTTGTCCATATACAGAACATCGACATATTGCATACATATTACACACTTATATCCAAAGCACACAAACAATGTGTCCCAAAAAACATGGCAAATTATTGAGGATTATAAAATAATCTCTGTAATTCTTTTGATTTAATATTCCATTGCCTAGTTGGAAAGCTGTAATAAATAATATATTTCGTCTGTTTATTGAAACACTCTATAATCTATATATGTAAAGTTGAAATCTCTGAATGTCTGTCATGGGGTCTATTTGTTCGTTTGTCCGATCATAACTCGGGAACCCCTGGACCGATTTACCTCACATTTTGATTATGGAACTCGGGAGACCCACGGGAATGTTCTTAGCTTGGTTTAAAGATTCAAATTGAGTGGGTCGACTTAAATAGTAAAAATTTACTTTTCCGGTAATATCGTTCAAATGCGGGTAAAAGGCAAGAGTAACTATGAGAAACCTGGACAGTGGCGCTGGGTCCTAAGCTAATATATTATATAATAAAACAAGGCATTCGTATATATATATATGTTGCCTATAGCTGGCCAAACGGCTGGACCGATTGAACTGATTTTTTTTGTGGACACTCATGGGTGTTATAGGCTGAAAAAAATTCGATTTTTTCAAAAAAAAAAATTTTCAATTTTTTTTCCCATGGGCCAAGCTAGTATATTATAAAATAATTATTTGTAAATATGTTCAAAGTGAAATATTTTTCCTATCAGATACAGATACAAGCAATCGATTTGTGTGCATAATCTTAAAATAAATAAGAATTAAAACAAAATACAAGAACTTGGCAAGTTTATGTAAATAACACGATCAGTTGTAATTTACCAATACAAATTTACCTATTGGGCGTCCTTTTAGTCAACGTTGATTTAATTAACCGTTACAGTATGGATTGATATATTTTCTTCCCCCTCCCCCCCACACCGGACTAACCAGAGTGGACAGTATTCGGTTTCTTCTTTTCGAAATCAAACGTGTTTTGGTCTATAATTCAACAAAATTTTATCTTACGGTTTTGTTTATTTTATACTTTTTCATTCAAATTGTATATGCCGACAAAAAAGTATTTTGAAAAAAGGCTAAAAAATTATGTCTAATGGGTCAAATTGTGATCAAAAGTCACTTTTTTCTGGAATATTGACAGAACCGTTAAATCCACGTGCCCTGTTGAAGAGGGGAATGGTGGGCATTGAAAAAAAATTAGAGGGTGGAGGCATTTTGTGTAAAAATAGTCTATTTAGCCTTTGTATTATGTATACTAAAAATGCAAGATCATAGTTACAGAAAATCATGAATTTATCGAAAACTTACTTCTTAAAAAAACCTCAAAAATAAATGAGGTATCATGCACCCGATGTTAATATTTGTCCAAAAAATAAAACAATATTTTTTAAACTGTTTTGAAACTTGTTCTGTAAAAGTCTTTTTTAACTAAACATTAAATTTATAACTTAGAAATGAATTGCCCTATACGAAAAATAATTACTATGTATGAATCGTTAGATCTCAAACGAGAAAAATACTTTATTTTCTTAGATTTGGATTCGTGAAGTGAATTAGCAATATTTTCTTCACATCACCATTGTAATATCTTTTAATCTTCCATCGAGATTAAAATCATATTTCATCCATCGAGGTTATATTCATATTCAACGAGAATAAAAACCATTTTTCACCAACGAGGTTAAAAACCATATTTCATCTAACGAGGTTAAAACCATGTTTCATCCAACGATGTTAAAATGATATTTCATCCAACGAAATTAAAACCATCTTTTATCCAACGAGGTTAAAATCATATTTCATCCAACGAGGTTAAAACCATTTTTCACCAACGAGGTTAGAACCATATTTAATCCAACTAGGTTAAAAACTATATTTCATCTAACGAGGTTAAAACCATGTTTCATGTAACGAGGTTAACACCATATTTCAACCAACGATGTTAAAATAATATTTCATCCAACAAAATTACAACCATCTTTTATCCAGCGAGGTTAAAATCATATTTCATCCAACGAGTTAAAAGTTTTTATTTTATTATAGGCAAGTTTCCTGGTGTGATATATGTAAACTTAAAAGTCCATTATTTTTTTATTTACCCATTTTTTAATTAAAAGATCTATCATTAATCAAACCTTCTCATTGAAATTCATGCTCTACCCCTTTAATCCAATCTCCTTCTTTAAAGTCATGCTCTGTCCCTTTTAAATGAACAAGTTTAAGAATGAATATTGAATATAAGGTAACGCCCAAATTTTGAACTTGAACACAATGGATAATGCTTAAATCTAGACGCGGTGTTTCAATAAACATGGGAGTAACAAATTTGAAATTTTTTTTAAAACGCGACTTTCTTATTTTAATTGCAACAAGATGCAATCAAAACATAGACAAAATATTCCTTTAACTCTAGTTTGAAAAAGGGATTAACGCTATCGTATTGGGCATTAACCGCTAAATAGATTTCAAAATCGTTATTTGATTTAAATGTTTTTAGCTGGACCTCCTGTATATTTTTTATAAACAAAGGTTTTTCAAATAATGTTTTCTTGCTTTATATTTCCTATTTGAAGGTTTCCAAAGGATATTTTTCCTAATAACAATTATAAACTTCGGTTTCCTAATTTCAGATTATTTAATTACAGGTTTCCTTATTACAGGTTTCCTAATTACAGGTTTCCTAATTTCAGATTATTTAATTACAGGTTTCCTTATTACAGGTTTCTTCATTACATGTATCTTAATTACAGGTTTCCTAATTACAGGTTTTCTAATTAAAGGTTTCCTAATTACAAGTTTCTTAATAACAAGTTTCTAATTACAGGTTTCCTAATTACAGGTTCCCTAATTACAGGAATCCTAGTTACAGGATTCCTCATTACAGGTATCTTAATTACAGGTTTCCTTATTACAGGTTACCTAATCACAGGTTTCCTTATTACAGGTTTTCTCATTACAGGTTTCCTAATTACAGGTTTCCTTATTACAGGTTTTCTCATTACAGGTATCTTGATTAAAAGTTTTCTAATTACAGTTTTCCAAATTTGAAAAATCTTGAATATTTTTTTGAAGACATACTTTTTCGTAAAATAGATATTAAAGATCAAAGAAGATCTTTAAATTCTTCTCTGAAATGTCATGTTTGTGGGACACTCTGTATGAAAGAAGTCGGTTACAAGGAAGCCTGTCGTGTTGTTGGGAGAGTGATTTAGATTTGTATATCCATGATTGCTATTTTTACAATTATTTCTGTCTCCTCCTTTTTAAATATCTTAATACATATCTGTCACTGTAATTTCATACTTGGCCCCCCAGTAAGATAGCTTGTTTAGTTAAAAAGTCTTTAATTCTGACAACTTTCTCCATTGTTTCTGCAAATGGAATTACGGTCATTATTAGAAAAAGCCACAATTAGAAATAATCAAATTTCAAAGAAAAAAACATAGATAGCTCATCCATTCTTGATCAACTAAAGCATGTATAATGAAACCATTGTGAATGAGACAGGCATAACTGTAGTTAAGCTGCAATATTTTTCAACAATCTTTATTGATATTATTCAATAAATTGTTGTTTCAAATATTGCTACAGCAAAAGATGTTTTTATGTTTCCTTCACTATGGTGTTAGCTCGTCAATTGTCAACACAAAATTGATTTAGCAGATTTTCTTCTTTTTTCCTGGGGATTTAGATGGGCACAATTTTAAAATTAGACTGGATAGTAACAATATAATTTTAGAATTATTATTATTTATATATGATTATTATTATTATTATTATTGTTATTATTATTATTATTATTATTATTATTATTATTATTATTATTATTATTACAAGCTATATATCCCTGAGACTGGAAAATGTTCGAATTGTATTGCAGCAGTTACTGATGATGTCGCTGAAAAAACGTTAAAAAAACATATTTTTACAATTAAAAAGCTTATACAAGTTGTCTTCATAATACATAATTCCAAAACAAATTTTTTTAAAAATTAAAATGAATAAAGAATATTCTTCTGAGCGGTGCTCATCTTATTCTTTAAAATGTCTAACAACATAGACAGAAAAAGAAACAAATTCAATGTCGGCTTTCGTTTCCATACTATACGGATAATGACGAATACTGTTATCATATTGCGTTCTCAAAACCATTACTGGTAGAATTTGTAAATCTAGAGTCATTCGTAAACAGATTTTAATCTGTAATTACAATTTCATACCGTGAGAACCCTAAAACTGCGAAAAAGGAAAACAATTAAAGATTAAGATGGGTCTTTTAACATTGCACAATTGCCGTGTTCCATGCACGTATGGACTGGAGTTTAAAAATCGTCTTCCTTTTCGAGAGTTTTCTGGTTCTCACTTTAGTTGAAATTAAAAAAGTGTGAATGAGGACTGTTTTGAACAAAAAAAAGATAATTGTAGCAAATTTATATACCTATGAAGAATCCAAGCAACAATTTTTCCATCTTTGAATCTGAAATGTAAAATGAAAATTCATTTCTAAAAACTTTTAAAAGGAAATAAACTGAATTGTTTTAAAAAAGTTGAAAGAGAAAAGATTAAAGGGACCGTTCACTTATTTGGATATTTTGAGGGTAAACTAAATAGCCTATTAGCTATTCATTGATATTAGTCTTACTTTTCAAAATCAACTACCTTTGCATTATCACTATTTGATGCTTTTGTCTTTATGATAATTTTAAATTTCATTGGGCTATTGTTATGGAAAAAACGTTTGTCTATGCAAATGTATCATACCTTTGCACTGGAATTCTAAACGATAAATCGTTTTTTCAGGTCATAGATATTTTTGAAAGTAAGACTAATACCAACGAAAAGCTAATAGGCTAATTAGTATACCATGAAATTACCCAAATAAGTGAACGATCCCTTTAAATGGGTTGAGGATTGTAGAGGAGAGAATGGAAGGTGGAAGTGAAGAGAGAATTAATAAGAATGTTAGGTGGAATGGAAGGGACAGAATGAAAGAATGAATGAGAATGGAAGACGGAAGAAAAGGGAGAATAAACGGAATGGAAGGTGGAAGGAAAGGGAGAATGAACGGAATGGAAGGTGGAAGGGAAGGGAGAATGAACAGAATAGAAGGTGGAATTGAAGGGAGAATGAACGGAATGGATGGTGGAATGAAAGGGAGAATGAACGAAATGGAAGTTGGAAGGGAAGGGAGAATGAACGGAATGGAAGGTGGAAGGGAAGGGAGAATGAACGGAATGGAATGTGAGAAGGGAGAATGAACGTAATTGACGGTGGAAGAAAAGAGAGAATGAACAGACTGGAAGGAGTATAGAACAAAGTAGGAAGTACATCGTTAACATCTCTGCAAGAAGATTTAAGCTGACAGTGCTGGTATGCCGTGACCAGGTTGAATTTAACAATCCTATATTTTCAATATTTGTCAGATATAATTTAGGTTTAAAATTGGTTTGAAACCATCTATATTTTCATGGGTGGTCTTTTTCATGATTAAATTGTAGTGAAATGTTTTTTAGAACCTTGATTCTGAGCAACCTTGAGCAACATTGAAGAGCAACATTGAAGACAATTTAAAGCCACGTCTCAAATTTAAGCCGAGGCTCAAATTCTTTTAATTCAGTTTTAGACATTACAACTTATAATCATCCATGTTTTTTGACGCATTCGTATAGTTGATATTTCATATTATTTTTTCCATGTTTCATATACAATATACTTTAAAGGACGATTATTTGGCCGCTAGGTGTCTCTGCTTTTTTATGCTTCTGGGGTTCGACTTGGAAGAGACTCCAAAGTTGGTTTTGCTTTGTGTTATTTTCAGATTCATAGAGTAAGCAGAAAGGCCAAGTTATTGGTTGTGCTTAGTGTTACTATCAAAATCATAGATAAAGTAGAAAGGCCTAGTGATTGGTTGTGCTTAGTGTTATTATTAGAATCATAGATAAAGCAGAAAGGCCTAGTGATTGGTTGTGCTTAGTGTTATTATTAGAATCATAGATAAAGCAGAAAGGCCTAGTGATTGGTTGTGCTTAGTGTTTTTATTATAATCATAGATAAAGCAGAAAGGCCTAGTGATTGGTTGTGATTAGTGTTATTATGAAAATCATAGATAAAGTAGAAAGGCCTAGTGATTGGTTGTGCTTAGTGTTATTATCAGAACCATAGATAAAGTGGATAGGCCTAAAGATTGTTCGCACTTTTATTACAATCATAAGATTAATTAGATGGTATGAAAATGTTTCAGAATAATAAATAAAACAGAAAGAACTAGAGATAGAATAGTAGAATATTTAAACAGATTTGAATAGAATACAAATATATAAAGATAGTACAGATAGATTCATAACTTTCAATTGATGACATACATGATATTCTTTTTTCAGACTAGGTTTACATTTTTTGTACATTTTATATACTTTATCTCTTCATTTTTATGAGTTATCTTTTCATGTTTGTTTGTCTACAGTGCAGTTTATGTCAGAAATATTAAGTTAAATGCAGTTTTAGTAAGTTAAGTCTCATTTCTCCCTCTCACCTCCTTTCCCGTGCAAACCATTCTTGAGCTCTCCCCTCTCCCTTTGTAATCTTTATCTCGCGTGGACCAGCCTGAAAATATTGAACCTATTCTCAGCACGTATGAATATTAAATATTGCAAATATTGCACTTTTAGATTTAGCCCAGGGACCAGAGACTCAAACTTAAATCCGCCCTAGCTAGAAAACCCAGTTTTGCAGACCAAATGTTGCTTAATTTTAGGGATCGTAGAGGTTATTTATATGAAACCTTTAATAATAGAGAGGAATGTTCAATTCGCAGAACAAAGCAATAAATTCTTAGAATATTCTTCGTTGTCTATGCAGCGAAAATCCGCAAATCACTTAAAAGAGAAGTTGTAAATGAAAATGTAATTGAAATTCTGATTAAAATAAGAAAGAAAATAAATGAAACGATTAGAGATAAACATGTAAGTAGAGATAAACCAATGTCAGTATAGAATACATCAAATACACAAGTAGTTGATCTCTGTTAGAATCTGCGGGAAGAGAGTTGAATTATACTTGCCACTTACTCTGATTAGTATTCTAATTAGTATTAGTATTCTAATTGAAGTGAGTGCCGATTCATGACGCAAAAGCTGATCGCGGTTATTAATGTAAGCAGAGGCCGAATTTAAAGAGTTTTAGCGGCGGCGGTGGTTGGTTCCACTCAAAATTGTATCAAATTTTTCAAGATTTAAGCCGGCGCGTAATTTAAACCGGGTTTTGTTGGATTTAAGCCGTGACTCAAATACTTTAAATTCGGCCTCAGGTTTTTGCTTGCTTCGTTTTTTGTTAATGAATGTAAGTAGTATTCTATTCGTGATTTTTCTTATATAAAAAAGCTTTTCGCTCATATATATACATATGTCAGCTATAGCTGGCCAAACGGCTGGATTGAATGGGCTGACATTTTTTGAGGGAACCCTTGAGTATGCTGGGGTAACAAAATTCGAAATTTTTTTAAATCGAATTTTTAAAATAAAATTTTTTTCTTCGAAATTCTATTTTTTCTCACAAATGTCATGTAGGTTTTTAGTTGTTTCCAGGTAAATTCTTGTATTTTATTTTTAAACAATTAAACCTTTAAACAATTCCTGTAACTGTATTTTGTATTGCGTAAAATGTATTTTGCGTTTTACTGTTACTTAACAATGTTTAATTATTTAACATAATTGTGTTAACCCCACACATTTTTCTGCAGGCTTTTTTTAAACAATATTATTTACAATAATAACAATATATATTTTTATACTTCAAAAATAAAATTGAAAGTACTAAAGGAAAAAAAGGTGTTTAGACTCAGTTTCCCAAAGCTGCGACCAATCGGTTTTGATTTATTATCAAATCATTAAACTATAATTAAAAAATCTTTTAATATTAAATTTAAAATTAAAAATAAAAAAATAAATAACAAAATCAAATTTAAGAACACCGATTTGTACTTTTTTCAGTCTGTTTCTCTGCCTTTGATAGGTTGTTTATTTAGATTACATTTACAAAGGTTTATTTGATGATGGGGGGTTATACGGTTATTTACTGTTTGATTGGGGTAAAAAAAAGGAGGGGAGGGAGAGTATTGAAGTTTGACGAATAGATCTTTGAAATGTACAGTTTGTATAGTTTTGTGAATAAATATTTCGTGTCTCATTTAATATTCTTCATATCTAATCCAATCCCAATATGGATATAATATACCCTGTTCAACTAGTGCTGGGCATAATTAAGAAAAATAAGTTTTTTTTAAAAAGATTAATCAGATTTTTTTTGTTAATGGATAAAAATCAAAGGAAAATAAGGTTTGTAAAATATTAAACTTTCTAAAACTAAATAAAACAATTTTCTGGAATATATTTAATTAAATAAAAGTAGGGTTGGAAAATTCCTGTTATTTTTATAATTAACGGACAATATTTTAAACCATAAAACAGAAGGAGGAGGTCAAATTTATGGGACATTACTAGTCCCACTTTGCCACCTCGTAGCTCCTCTGGGGTTGGTTTTATTCATAAATCAAAAAAAATAGTTGACAAAAGGATTTAAATTTTTTTTCGCCATTTTAAATTTTCATTTTTTTACAATTGGGTCGTTCTGAGCCGTTACAAATTTAGCCCTGGTTCATACAAAATTTTACATGGATAATTAGAAAAAGATTAAATAACAAGAAAATAATAAAATAAATGGACATGTGCGCTCCATTGCGTTAATCTAGCTCAGTAGGTGGTAACAAACAGATAAAAAGTACTTTAGTGCCCATGCTCTATCAAATAATTTAAATATGTTGAGTCTTGGTACAAAGAAGATATAAACTTCAATAAATCCCCTCCTCCAACCCACTCCCCCCCTCATCAATGTTAACCTTTAACCCAAACACTGACACAAAGACCTCTCAAAATTAGGGTTTGCAGTGAAAAGAAAAAATCGTTTCGCGAATTTTTTTGCATTTCGCTCGCTCTCGAAAATTTTCTTTTTTGTACATTTTCTTCAATCAGTTTCGCGAAAGAACGCGAAATTTTCGCGAAATAAGAAATGCGAAAATTTTGAGGGAAAAAATCGGAATAACAAAAAATAAGCAAGCTTTTTGCGAAAATTCATCATAAAAGACAAAATGCAGCTTTAACACCTATGGTTTTCGCAATAACCTTTTTTCGGAAAATTTTTGCTTAGTTTTAGCATTGTTTACTTCATTCATTTTTGCGAAAAAATGCAAACTTTCGCGAGAAAGTTTGCCAAATACAAAAGAAAATTTTCCCATTTTTTTCGCGAAACGTTTCGTTCTCTGCAAACCCTACTCAAAATACATTGAAATGCAAAGACGATTTAATAAGTCGAAACTATGGAACTATGTGAAAGGTTTACGAAACTATGGACCTATGTGAAACTATGGACCTATGTGAAACTATGGACCTATGTGAAAGGTTTACGATTATAGACTACAGTTATGATT